TACTTTTCTACTTTTACTTGAGGAACATTTTGAATGCAGGACTTTTACTGTAACAGAGTATTCCTACACTCTGGTACTTCTACTTTTACTCAAGTACAATATCTGAGTACTTCTACTTTTACTCAAGTACAAGATCTGAGTACTTCTACTTTTACTCAAGTACAAGATCTGAGTACTTCTACTTTTACTCAAGTACAAGATCTGAGTACTTCTACTTTTACTCAAGTAGTGATCTGAGTGCTTCTACTTTTACTCAAGTAGTGATCTGAGTACTTCTACTTTTACTCAAGTAGTGATCTGAGTACTTCTACTTGTACTCAAGTAGTGATCTGAGTACTTCTACTTGTACTCAAGTAGTGATCTGAGTACTTCTACTTTTACTCAAGCACAAGATCTGAGTACTTCTACTTTTACTCAAGTAGTGATCTGAGTGCTTCTACTTTTACTCAAGTAGTAATCTGAGTACTTCTACTTTTACTCAAGTAGTGATCTGAGTACTTCTACTTGTACTCAAGTAGTGATCTGAGTACTTCTACTTGTACTCAAGTAGTGATCTGAGTACTTCTACTTTTACTCAAGCACAAGATCTGAGAACAATTTCTGAGAAAGAAGTACAATTCTGAGAAAAGATCAAAATCTGAGAAAAAAGTCAAATACTTTGCTAATAATAATAGCAAAACATGACATAACTCTATTGGCATTGGCTCCTGAACGCACCATCACTGAAGTGAGGACCACATACACACACAAGGCAGCATTGCATAGTTTAAAACCAAGATATAAACCAGAGTCCTGCACCGTGTCAGATACACATGAGGTCATGCAAAAGAAAGATGTAAATAGAGAAGAAAAGAAGTCATTCAAAGGTAATAATGACTCCTGTGTACAACAAATAGAGATTTCAAGGTGTTTCATTTCAGCTGAGTAACATGTGTTAAGCCTTACCTTAGGACTGGGTATTGAACATTATTTAACAAGTCTTTTTGTTTTGTTTCTTCAGTGCATCACCCAGGTTTTAAGGTACAACTTAAAGAGGTGCATAGTCACTCTTTAGGGTCCCCTGGTCTCCAGCTGTGTGCGTCACTCTTTAGGGTCCCCTGGTCTCCCAGCTGTGTGCGTCACACTTTAGTGTCCCCTGGTCTCCCAGCTGTGTGCGTCACTCTTTAGGGTCCCCTGGGTTGCGTTCGAATACTCCAAAAAAACAGCTCCTAAGTTCTAACCCTATCGTCTATTCCTTGACCTCGGAGTGAAACGTCATGGGGTTAAGGGATAGTGGATAGGAGAATTCAAAAGGATTTAGGAGAAGAGACTGCAGCACTTTAGAGAATCCGACTGCACTTTCACTATCCGACGTGTTTATGATGTGCCAGCGGACGTCATAAATGTGCGTCTGCTGCTGTGGGGAAACTATGGAAACTACAGTTTTCTATACAGCGGACTACAACATGGATGTTTAATAAGAACGAGGGACTACTGTAAACTCATCTAGAGACTCTGCACCGTGCTCTGATGCTGTTGTTTTATGCTTTATGAACGGGGACAACAGAGAAACATATTCTTCATGACCAAAGTTGGATTTGAAATAAAAAAGGAAAGTGAAACTTATGCTCGTCACCCTCTCCCTCCGGTCCACATTAATACAAATGATCCCAATACGTATGATTGTATGAAAAGATCTTAAAATCAATACAAATGTATTTATTGTAAACGTTAGTCCTTAACATCTATCACTGTGTATATCACCATTCAAACATCTTTTAAAAGTTGAACAAACCCCACACAGCTCAGTAAAGACTGTGAAATGTTGACTTTATTTGATCATTTCAGTAAAAACTAACGTTCATATTTCTCTTTTTGATTATAATACTGATGAACGTTCAAAACAAAGCACTTTGGCAACTTACCACATACGTTTTAAATTGCTTAATAAGCACCGTAACTTTCATGATATCATTTCTCGTTCATAATCGGTTGTTTCCGTGAACGGCCGACTGTTGTGTGACGGCAAATGCTGCGGCCGCAAGGCATTGTGGGGCAGCATTTTCTCCTCTCCTTTCGGTTAGGGAGGTCCAGTGGTTCCTAAGCTAAAGGAGGTTATAAAGGAAGTTTGAAACCTCCTTTCCTTTTAATTTAGAGAATTCGAACGGCACTTATCATGGCTGCCACTGAGGGACTTCCGGGTCATTTCACTCCGTTAGGAAGGTTCCTAAGCTAAATGGACTATTCGAATGCAACCCCGGTCTCCCAGCTGTGTGCGTCACTCTTTAGCGTCCCAATGTCTCCCAGCTGTGTGCGTCACTCTTTAGGGTCCCCTGGTCTCCCAGCTGTGTGCGTCACTCTTTAGGGTCCCCTGGTCTCCCAGCTGTGTGCGTCACTCTTTAGTGTCCCCTGGTCTCCAGCTGTGTGCGTCACTCTTTAGTGTCCCCTGGTCTCCCAGCTGTGTGCGTCACTCTTTAGTGTCCCCTGGTCTCCCAGCTGTGTGCGTCACTCTTTAGTGTCCCCTGGTCTCCCAGCTGTGTGCGTCACTCTTTAGTGTCCCCTGGTCTCCCAGCTGTGTGCGTCACTCTTTAGTGTCTCCTGGTCTCCCAGCTGTGTGCGTCACTCTTTAGTGTCCCCTGGTCTCCCTGCTGTGTGCGTCACTCTTTAGTGTCCCCTGGTCTCCCAGCTGTGTGCGTCACTCTTTAGTGTGCCCTGGTCTCCGTTGTGTTTGAGCTTCTTCAGCGTTTGGTTTCTGCAGCTTTTAGTAAACACATGTCTCCTCAAGTTGCTGAATGTTCTCTAAATGCTGCATGTGTTGTCAAGTTGGTGGAGATGTTTCTTCATGTGGAACCTTTGGGTTTTTATATCTGCATCCTTTCTGAAGCTGCAGCGTGTTTCTACTGATGGAAGAGTTCAGGGATGTTGTAGAGCATTAGCACCTGTCAGCCACCATAAGTGACCAGATGCTAAAAGTACCAGAGAATTTAGAACGTATACAAAAGTGAGGATGTTTTAAGATAGAAAACATGTTTGGAGGGTAGAACAGAAACTGGCAGAACAACATCACCCAGTGCTAATGTGTACGTGTACAGGAGGGACAGTGAACGCCTCACGAGACATTATCAATAATAAACCCACTTTTACACACTATAACAAACTCACACACACACACACACACACACAGAACATCCTCAGGCTGAGCTTTCATTAGAGGGGCAACACGCCTGATTAAACGGACGGACACACACACACACACACACACACACACACACACACACACACACACACACAGCTGGCCTAATCAATGATAAGTAATTGGACCTTCAGGGAGAGGGAGCAGCAGGTCCTGTGATGTGTAGTGAAATGTCGTGTGTGTGTGTGTGTGTCTAAAGAGAGGTACAATGAGGGAGGAAGGAAGGATCATTGGTGTGAAATGAGACAAATTAGTGTGTCGGGGGCTGTGTGTGTGTGTGTGTGTGTGTGTGTGTGTGTGTGTGTGTGTGTGTGTGTGTGTGTGTGTGTGTGTGTGTGTGTGTGTGTTTGTTCTTGTGTGTGGTCATTCTTCCATGTTTTCGAGTGTGTGGCCATTGATCTGAGCTGTTCTGTGTGTGTGTGTGTGTGTGTGTGTGTGTGTGTGTGTGTGTGTGTGTGTGTGTGTGTGTGTGTGTGTGTGTGTGTGTGTGTGTGTGTTGTTCCTGCTGCATGACAACAAAAACGTCTCTGTTCGTAGCCACTTTTACTTTAAATGTTTATATAAATATGTTATTTTCTTTTAACCGCATTTATATTTAATTGTATTTTATTCTTAAACTGAGAGTTAGAGTTGTGTCTCGGTTGCCCCCCGTACTTTCTCTCCACGTCTGTCAGGAATCAGAGGGTGAGAAGACGGAACGTTTCTGATCAAATTGCCCCATATTTCAAATGTTCCTGCCCAATTGGATTCTGAATGTAGATGAAATGATAAATAACCCTCGAGTGTCCTGCTTCCTGTCTACCTCTGTCACTATTATACACAGTTTGTTATGAAATAGTTCTTTGTTAGAAGACATGAAATATGCTCCGATGTATTTATCTAGTATTTATGAGAGGAGGAGGAGGAGGAGGAGGAGGAGGTGGTGCAAGGCGCTGAAATGCATCCAGAATATATGTTTACGTTGTTTACCTGCAATACACTCAGAAACTCCAGAGACTGCACTGCAGGTAAAACTTAAAGGGGACCTATCATGCAAAATGCACTTTTGTACGTCTTTTCTACATGAATATGTGTCCCCGGTGTTCCAGGGAACTCACCAAGTGTCAGAAAACACAACCCTCTCTATTTTCCTCCATACCCAAATCTCTAAAAAAAGGGGCTGCAACGGATCTGATAAAAACTGATCCAGATTTGAACACTGTCCTGACGTCAGGACGGTGGCGCTACGGCTATTGGGCCAACTCCACCAATCAGGAGGAGACAGCCACGGCCATTGCCGTTCGAAAGCGCTGGAGACGCTGTAGTACATATGCCAGGCCTGTAGATGGGGCTGTTCTGCCCTTATCTGACCTTACACAAACAGAGCTAAAAAATGTCAAATTGAGCGAAATGAGGCATGGCTAAAATGCATGATCTGTTTGGTATTTTGAAAAAAAAAAAGTATAAATATGCCTTATATAGGTATGGTCCTACACTATATTATTCAAATATAGCATGATAGGTCCACTTTAACTTAACTTCTCCCTTAGTTTCTACAGGTGGTTCTGCTGTTGGATCTTTTTCTGTTTTGCACCTTAAAGGAAAGAACTATAAAGAAAAACTCCAATTTCAGTGCTATGATAAAACCTTGGAGTGGAGTCAAGGGATTTCTAGTCCCCACCATAGACTGTATATATAAATGGACGTAGGGTCCGTGACGTCACCCATAGGATTCTGCAGAGTTGCCGAGAAGCCCTTAGTAGGCGGAGTCGGCCACTAACGGCTCGACAGTGGCGTCAGAGTCTAACTCCCGCCTGCTACATCCTGCTCCAAATAAGGGCAAAGAGGCGGAGCCGTGGCGGAGACGAGGCGGGACAGGGCGGGACCTTCTGCCAACGGCCGTCAAGTTCCAGACCTAGCTCAGGCTAAGAAGCTAAGCTAACATGCTCACAGTATTAAGCTAACAACCCAGCTTGCGGTCACTGCTCCTCGTTCCCGGCGTTCTGAAGGTAAGATCCCCTGTAACTTTACAAAACTTGTCCTTTTGATTTAAATGTTCTTGAACCTACACTATACAATTGTTTTTTAAGTGCTTCACCGTTTTTCAAATATAAATGTCATTTGTAACAACTTTGTAAACTAGCAGAGATATGGCCAGTGTTGCGTGAATTAGCCTATGGAATTAGCCATAAACTGTGGCCTATACAGTATGTAAAGGAATTAGCGTATTGTGAATTAAACAAAGCTTTTCCCTATGATTTAACTGTTCTTGATATTACACTATACAAGTTTAAAAACGCTTCTCCATGATTCAAATATAAACAGTGTAATATGCATGGGCTAACAAATGCAAAATTTGCATATTTATACTTTTTGACCATCAATTGTATATACATTTAATCCAACGTTACTGTTTCAACAGCGCTGTGAGAGTATAAATTAAATATGACTGTAGAAAAAGAAAGGCGCTTTTATATTGATTAAACCATTTTTATTTCTTTCAGCATTAAGAAAAAAAGATGGCAACCTCCTCCACAACCTGTAAGTTGATGGTCCTGGCTTACTTTACATGACTTCAGATGGTTGACATTACACACAAACATACTATATATATATACATATATATATATATATATATATATATATATATATATATATATATACGTCAGGTGTGATTTCATATGTTATGTTGTATGTTATTGTCAAAGGAACAAAATGAGCAACCCTTTATACTTAATTTGATATTCCTCATTATCTGAAGCATTTGTTACTCTCATTTATTTTCCTCCCATAGTGACTGTATGGATAATCGGAGACAGCTATGTCCGGCGTGGAGCCCAGAGAGCTACAGAGACCATCGGCAGCAACCTTGGCCTCGACCTTCGCTCCTGCTGGTTCGGTTGGGGTGGACTGCGCTGGAGAGGTCTCCTCCCCTTCTTTTCCAACTCCCTGCGAGGAAGAGCAGCCCCGGATGTCCTCCTCATCCACTGTGGCGGCAACGACTTGGGGGATGTGCCCAGTGTTCACTTGGTGAATCAGATGAAGGAGGACCTGCACCAGCTTCACCATCGGCACCCTGGCATGAAGATCATGCTCTCCCAGATCAACCAGAGGTGCCGATGGAGGGCTGGTGCAAATCCTGTCAAAATTGACAAGGCCCGGAAGTTTGTTAACAGTGTTATGGCTACTTTTGTTCATAGCCTAAATGGTGCCATTGTTGACCACTCCAACATTAGACATGACAGTCCTGGGCTTTTTTTTGCGAGATAGAGTTCATTTCACCCCTAGGGGAAATGATATTTTTTTAAAGTCACTAGCCAATTGCCTGAAAGACCATCTCCAAAGACTGTGAACTGCTAAAATGTCAGTATCACTGTTTTTGGATTTGGCCTTTAGAGTATGTTTTCTAAGGCCCTTGCTAAGCCCAGACTGTCATGGCTAATGTTGAGTTAGATATTACATCTGTAGCCATAACACTGTTAACATGGCTGCTCTTCCTCTTCCCCACATCCCACCCCCCCCTCTTCCCCCCAATGGACTCTGTAGCTCTCCAGGCCCATGCTGGGCATGGCTGTCTGTCAAACTTTTTTTTTTAATTTGTTATTATGTTTTTTGTTATTTTATTTGTTAAAATAATTCTGTAAATATTTAAAATAAATCACATTCATATTTTCACTTCTTTTGTCTACTGCTTACTGAAAATGTTAGCTATCACATCCAAATCTGACTATCAAATGAAAGGATAAGCTAACCATACAATACAGAAAACATTACACATTAAGGCTCAAATCTTTTCCCAAGCCGTAGCAGTCTGAAAAGAGTCCCAAGTTTAAAAACACAAAATCTTGACAATGAATACTACCTTGTCATTTATCAGTGACAATGCAAACACCAAGAAGGTCTCCCCTAATCCCATGTATTTTGGCATCAAATATGTCATAAGCATACCATAGAATGTAATTATGAAATGCAATACCCACAATCCCTACAGGGTCGTAACATCACAGAAAATAATACCTTTTAGAGAGTTTCTAAATTGTTCAGTATGCAGATAATTATTTGTTTTACAATAGAAACATTTTTCTCAATAAATGTTCCCACATGTTGTGAGCATCAACTTTAAATCTTTTGTCAACAAATAAAAAACATCTTAATTTCCTTTACGACAACATTTTGTTTATAACACCACTACATTAACAATAAGCATAGGAAAATTATAAATGTATAATTTAAGATTGTGCTTTTACTCTATATTTAATCCGATCTATTTCACATTGAAAATGTACGACTTAAGTACACTAGAAAATAAATTAAAGATGTGCAACAACTGTATCAGTAATTAAAATGATGTAACTTATGTACAGGGTTGGGAGGGCTACTTGCCAAAAACGCAACCAGTAACTTAATGTGAATATCAAGATATAAAAGTAATGTAACCTGATAACTTTATTTTTCTTTTGGATTACCTCAATATCAAATGCAATGCAAATAAACACAGGAGAGAAGAAATATTAATATGATTCTTTTACTTAAATGTATAATATACATAAAGCTGACTCAGGCAGTAGGTGTATAGATTCACAATGAAAGTATTAGCCTACAGAACAGTACCGCTTCCAGAGAAGAGAGAACATCTGATCATTTTACAACAAACACTATATGCTCTTTTCAGGTTTTGAATAAGATTGTAATCCTGAGTTTCCCTATTATTAAAAAAAGTCAAACTAATCCGATTACATCTTTTCCTATGTAACTAAGGATTACACTTTCCTTTTTTTCTATACGATCTTGATTCGTGTTAGATGTAATCCATTACTACCTAAGCCAATAAAAGTCATAACTTTTGGAAAATTGTCTCAAGTTATAAATTATGCCTTCAATCTCTTTCACGTGGGGAAGACATAACATTGGCCGAGGCGTTGCAACTTCCCTCAAGCGTCCTACATGAAAGAAAGATCACATGTTAAAAATGTGTGCACAGACTATTCAGTATGACCCGTCTTAGTTTAAAGCCCACTCACCACGACAAGGTGTAGGTCAGGGGGGGATGGGCACATAATGGGGGGGAACACATCTTGTGTGTGTGTGTGTGTGTGTGTGTGTGTGTGTGTGTGTGTGTGTGTGTGTGTGTGTGTGTGTGTGTGAGAGACAGACAGCTAAACTAAGATGGAGGAAATTGCAGAGGGACATGGAGGGAGGTGTTACAAAGTTGACTAAATCATCCAAAATGCAATGAAAGTGGTGATCAGCAATTTTATATGTTCAAATGTCTACTGTGAAGGATATCATAAATCCTTAATGCAATCGAATGTAAAACAAAAAAGTTATGATTGATGAAAGTAGTCAATCGGTCAGATTTGACCCGAAGACAACAGGAGGGTTAATGCCATATTCACTTAATAACACATGAACAACTTTTACAAATATTTCTATATAGTCTGTGTTGGTAAATGTCATCTAGGTTGCACATTTCCTGCTGAAATACATGCATACCAAGTTACTGCGTGGCACTTTGGTTTTGATAAAACAGTGTAGTTCCACTATATAAACGTTACATTCATAATCAAACGAGACAATCTGCAAGATAATGAGCTATTTGTTGTTATTTTTAATGCTTGTCATTCACACGTTAATAAAATAAAATAAGTACCGATACATAGCAGAACAATTGTGGCGATGTTCAGCTTAATAAGCCTTGTTCAACATAATTTATTTAGCTAATACTACAGCGGGCTGCAGGCGAACCAAGTCTGCGTTTCGCTGCATTCCTTGATCTCCAGTTATAATGCCGGACTCCGCCGCCGGCCGAAGCTAACGGAGCAGCCGGGACGCGCTAGCGAGCTAGCCCCCTGCGGCTCCGTTAGCTTCGGCCGGCGTGGACTCCGGCGGCCACCACTGGGATAATTGGGTCCCCTTTTAACATTTGCTCCCGTTTAGCATTATGGGCGTCACAGCCATATACTATAAAAGGCTGAATCATAAACTAAACTGTATATATATATACACATGTATAAAGGGTTACGTCCTTAGCTGGCTAATAAGCTACATAATAAGCTACATAACAAGCTAAGCTAACAAGCACACAAACACCTGCTAACGGGATTAACATGTATAATATTATCATTTTACTCACCGAAAAAAGCTGAGAGTAGACTTCTTGGAAGGTCTGTTAGTACATTCAAGCGCACAGCACTACATTTCAATTGTCTGGTATTTGTAACAATATTCCCTAAAAGGCACAATCACCACGAACACGGCTAAAGGGTCAAGTACAGCAACTACAACTAACTAACGTTGTAGCCTAGCAGAGTGGACAAATTGCTGTTAGCTGACAGTGAGGCACGTACCTGTCCATCAAAGTGACCACGCCCTAATTTATGCAAAAACTTTAAGACCTAATATAAATAAAAGGGTCGCGTTAGAAAACAATTCACTCACAGATTCATAATCACGAAGGTGGAATCTAACTATATACATAATAAAATGTATTGGAGCCAGGGCTAGAAACGTTTTTTTTCTGCTGTGAAATTGGGCATTTTAACATTGGGGTCTATGGAAATTGCTCCTTTCTGCAGTCATCGCCTATCGGCCAATATATGAACTGCAGTTTGTGGCACTTCCGTATTGGCGTCCCGGCTCTTCCCCAGAGTTTGCCGCTTGGTCCCCACACAACAGACAGATAGCTAGCTACATAGCTGTGTAGCGCATTAGCGCGTTAGCTTGTTAGCTAAGCTTAACACTATGATCGATTAAACTAATTTTAAAGGAACTTTAAATAACATTGTTTGTGACAGTGGTTACAGACATTGAACACAACATAAGATGGATTTTAATCACAAGTCACAAAAACATTAAATTAAAATGTAAATAAAATACAAGTCGAAATGAAAATCATAAATACGTATAATCAGTCAAATACAATAACATTAAATTATTATTATTATTAAATAAATTAAATAAATTAAATAAATTAAATAAAATTAAATAAACATGTGTTAAGATTTACAAACAAATCAACAGAAATAACAAATTATTTTAAAAATAGGGAACGAAGCTAAACGCTTTCATGATCTACATTTAGCTCTTAAATAAAATAATAAAATATAGTAAAGACAGCGAGCTGCCTGAGTGGAAATCAATCAACCTTTTATATAATGATCCGTCCTGTTGGTGCGTTTAAGGGCAGTCAGACATCCGAGTTTCCATTGGTGTTTGATTAGGATTATTTCGAATGTGTAAAACAATAATACAAAAATGTAACATGAGAATTATTATACAATACAAAATGAATCAGTGTCAAATTGATATACAAAAATATTACTGATTCTAAGTTATGTATAAACTAGGGCTGTCAAGTTAACGCGTTAATAACGCGTTAACGCAAAAAAAAATTAACGCCACTAATTATTTTAACGCGATTAACGCATGTGTATTTTTTGTCCTCGGCCGCCCCGTAGTTTCAGAGCGCATCGAGTGTAAAATACCATCTACAAGCTGATGCTGACAGCCCCGCTCCTGCCGCCCGCTTGTGGCAGACCACACTTCCACGCTCACCGGCAGGCCCGGACTGGCCATCGGGAGGACCGGGAGGGTGTGTGTTTGTGGGGCGACTCGCGCGAGCGAGGCACACCTTACGTGTTGTTGTTGTTAGCATCTGGTGCTAGCTAGCTGCGCTAACGGATATAAGGAGCTGTTTCAATGACATTTCGCCGACAACTGCGCCGAGCACTTGACTTTATGCAGGTAGCCAGACAGTGGGACATTGTACGAAAAGTCAGCACACTCAGCACGGATAGTGCGCGCAACATGATTGCAGCTCCCGTTCGAGCATATATGCCTTGAGCTGCACATACTGTAGCTCCAATGATCCATCACAGTG